ACGAATCGATAAGCACAAATCCCAGGATCCCCCATGCCTGCCCACATGCACTGGGCTGCCGTCGTCCCCCCCTCGCTTCCCATATGTTGTCCAGCTTCCTTGAAGTCGACATTGCGTTGTGTCTGCGTGTTTCTTCCCCGTCCGCCCCCTGCTCCAGTCCATGGCGTACCTTGTCCTGTGCAAGATCTTCGGCACCGCCTGTTTTCTGAGCCCTCCAGCCGCCTGAGGCCCCGCCCGCCCGCCGCCCTGTCTCCCCAATTAGGGCTACCCACGTCCCGTTTAGCTCCCGACCCGCAGACCAAAAAGTGTTTCCTCCCCGCCTGCCTGAAATGCTGGAGACGCGCTGAAGGAGAGCCAAGCCTCTTTCGTGGCTCCGATGGCGCCGGGCGCGCGAGGAGTGAACGTGGGCACGGCAGGTGGAGTGGCCTGAGGAACCCCCCAGCCCCGTCAACGAACCAGTCACACCTCTCCTCCTCCTCCTCCTCCTCCCCCTCCTCCTCCTCCTCCTCCTCCTCCTCCTCCTCCTCGTCTTCGTCCTCTTCGTCCTCTTCGTCCCCCTCCTCCTCCTCCTCCTCCTCCTCCTCCTCCTCCTCGTCCTCCTCCTCGTCCGACGACGACGGCAACGACCACGACGGCACAGCCGGCGAGGGAGGGGCTGTCGGACCTTAAATGACCGACGTCACACGGCGTCGAACTGCGCTGGGCCCTGAGGCACGACCATGGAAGGACCTTCAACCCGACCTGTTCCTTAGCTCAACGTCTTGACTGCAACCCGCACAGTATCCGAGAAGGGCTAGGATGAGGTTTATCCCGATCCAGTATCCTGATGTGGGCTATGCCGACGACAATGGCCGTCGATCAAGATGCTGTCACAGACACTCACCGTACCCGTACGAAACAGACTATTAGGATAAGGATCTCCTGAGGACAGCGTCAGTCGTCTGCCAGCAGAGCCAATACCTGGAACTATTACGAGAAGGATATCCTGAAGACAGCGTCAGCCGTCTACTAGGGAGCCAACACCAGAACCACGCGGGCAATAGAAAAGGGCCAGAGAAGGTGAGACAGGGTAACCAACATCATGTTGCATCCTCGGGAGACCCTGTCTGTCCCGCCGCGGCCATGTCCGCGTCGAATCCGTGCAGAATCCATCTGCGGGCTCTTCGGATCTGTGCTGAATCCGTGCCGAATCCGCGTCGAAATCCACGCCAAATCCGCGTCGGGGCCCGCATCGAGCCCGCGTCGGGCACGAGAAAAGACCCCAAATTTTGGGAGGCAGGCGAGCTCCGCCGAAGCTGCCGCGCAGCCTGCCCAGGGGAGCGGCGCCCTCGCAGGCAGCCTGCCGCCCCTGGCCCTGCCGCCGTCGTCGTCGGCGGAACTCGCGCGGCGGCGCCCGCGACGGCGGCGGCCGGAGGCGGCTAGGCCGCGCTGCCCGACGGGGGACCGCTTGTTGTCAGCGATGAAGAACCTTGGGGCTCCCTCCTCCCTCCTCCCTCCTTCTCCCCCTCCTCCTCCTCCTCCTCCTCCTCCTCCTCCTCCTCCTCCTCCTCCTCCTCCTCCTCCTCCTCCTCCCTCCTCCCTCCTGCTCCTGCTCCTCCCCCTCCCCCTCCTCCTCCTCCGCCTCCGCCTCCTCCTCCTCCCTCCTCCTCCTTCCGTCCTTCCCGTCTTCTTGTTTCTCCTCCTCCTTCCTCTCCTCCTCCTACCTCCTCCTCCTCCTCCCCTCCTCCTGCTTCGTCTCGTCGTGGCTCCTCCTCCCTCCTCATCCTCCGCCTCGAGGGAGGGGCGATGGAGCTTCCGCGTCCCGGCACATGCCCCTGCCGTCGCCTCTCGGCCATCGCCCGGTCCCGCCCTCCCCGCCCGCACACCGCCCCCCCCCACCCGCCGTGCAGTCCTTTACCTCCTCCACCCACTCCCCCTCCTCCTCCTCGATCCGACTCTGTCCCCCATCTCGCACCCTCCCCCCCCCTTCCCCCCTCCCCCCTTCCCCCCTCCCCCCTTCGGTCTCCCCCTTCTCCTTCTCCCCCCCCCTTCCCTCCTCCCGCTTCTCCCCCCCCCTTCCCCCCTCCCCGCTTCTCCCTTGCTCTCTCTCTCTCTCTCTCGCTCTCTCTCTCCTTGCAAGCACCCCTTCCCCCATCCTCCTCCACCTCCCCGATACTCTCGTCTCCTCCCTGCAATTGACTATCAACCAAGTCGGCGTCGGATATGAAGCAGCGCCGCAGCAGCACGCAGGGTGGAGGGGAGGCAGCATGCGAAAGAAATGCGCGCAGAAACATTTACAGAGAACTGGAAGGGAGGAGACGGAGGAAGAAGAAGAGGGGAAACAGATGATGACGAGGAGGAACACAAGCGGCATAGGTGGCGGGCGAAGAAGAGGAAACAGGGCAACAGGAGCGAGAGAATGAACAGGAGGCGGATCCGCAGGATGGCCGTTATGCTGAGGCGAGAAGGCGATGGATGCGGGAATGCTCAGTTATGGTGAGGAGGATGAGACCGAGGGGGAGTGGAGAATGAGATGGAGGATGCGGAGAAGTGGGGAAGAGGGGGGAGAAGAGGAAGCGGAGCGGAAGGAAAGATAGGGATGACTGTAGAGATGGATGCAAGGGTGGATGATGGGCATTGGAAACGTCTTGGGCGGGGGACCGCGGAAGTTGACGGAGTGCGTGCAGGTGAGAGGTTAGAGGGAGACGGGAAGAAAGCAGGAACGGAGACGAATGAGGATGAGAATGGTATCAAGGAGGCTCGAGAGCTGGGATGAAGCTCGAAGGGGCGTGGTCAGGAGGGGAAGGAGAAGACAGGCAGGCAGGAGCGAGGAGGAGATCGAGAGGGGGGGGGAAGGCTGGAGGGGGAGGGGGCATGCTCAGGGAAAGGGGAGATGGAGCAGTATGCAGAGGACCACGGAAGAGAGAAGGACGAGGAGAAGGGAGTGGAGGCTGCAGCAGGACTGTAAAACTACTCAGCATGAAGAGTATAGGACCTGCATGGGACGGAGGATCACAATGAGGATGGCTCTACTGATCCTCCTCCTCCTCCTCCTCCTCCCGCTCTTCCAGCTCCTCCCCCTCCCTCTCCCCCCTGCCCCCCCTCCTCCTCCGACGACGACGATGCTGTGGAGTACGAGGACTACGAAGAAGAGGAGTATGAGGGGGCGCACACGGTGAGGACTGCGAGACGATGAGGATACTATGAAGGACTGCAAGGATGATGCAGATGATGGTACGGAGGGCAGGAGGAGCAGCATCGGCAGAAGTGACAGAGGTAGCAGTTGCACGACGACGATGAGAAGGGAGATGACGAAGAGGGAAAGGAGGGCGACGAACACTGGGGGTCGAGAGCATCGAGAGGTCGAACCACATCGGTGTATATTCTTGTTGGCCAGCACGGCCCATGCATCACTGGGACAGTCAGCACCAGCAGCACCAGGACGCCGCGGGTGCCCTCTCTAAGCATGCTGATAACATTTGCGCTAAGGTCTTGCGCCAGAAACTAGACTATTCGATATTCGGCCCGCCCCCGGGCAGGCCGAGAACCAGAGCTCGCGGTGTTGAGCAGGGACCGACCGTCCCGGCATTCGCATAGTCCTAGCACGAAATGTTCTTCGAACTCAAACATGTTCTTAGATCGAAGCCAATGCTCTTAGAACATTAACCCGATGTGTTAAACGCAAGAAAAACTCCGCCGGACATGTTCTCAGAACAGTTCGTGGAAACCACAACCGGTTCTTACAACATTCTTTGGGAGGGCTATAGGCGAGCCAGGACGCTTCTAGGGGAACAAGAAATGACGTAAACATAACAACTCGGAGGTCCGCGCGGATTTCTCGGATCGGCGCTGGACCCCCCTCCCTGGCGCGCGGAGCGCGCCAGGGGCGGCGCCGGAGGCGCCGCCGCAGAGCCCCAGCGCCGATCCGAGAACTCCGCGCGGACCTCCGAATTGTTATGTTTATGCCACTTTTTGTTCCCCTGGCTTCGCCACTGCTTGCCGGTGGGGTGCGTTCCCACCTCCCACGGCAGCGGGTGGCCTGCGCGGTGGCGCTCGACCTGTCTCGCCGCCGCCGCGCCGAGGGCACCGCCACAAGACACCAAGCGACACCGTGCCCGGCCGCGGCCACCCCGGGCCCTGGCCTTACGTCGGGCGTGTCCCCCTGCAGGGGGATTTTCGACGACAAACAAAACATATTCGAAAAATACACCAAAATGGAAAAACATACTAAAAAACAAGAAATGCCCCCAGACTCTCTTTTGACTATTTTTGGATATTCCCCTGTAGAAGGACAGGCCCGACTTAACCCTGGTCGGGTGCCTCCCGGACGGGGTCCATGTGGACGGGGTCGGAGGATCGCACCGCATCGCCGATGCGTCGCCGATGCTCAAGGGGCCCAAGGACACACGAATAAATACACACAGATAACAGGATTCCCCATATTTTGACATACTTTCTGGGTTTCTGTTTTCCCCCCCACTTCCCATATTTTCCCATATTTTCCTGAGGATCGACGATTGATTGTATCTGTGTGTGTTTTCCCCTCCTGAGAGATGCCTTGCCGATGCATCTGCGGACGGGTCGCCGATGCATCGGCGAGATGCATCAAGGGCTCCCAACTTCGCGCTTCGCGCTGCGCGAAGCGGGAATAACTTCGCGCTCTCGCGCCGCCTCCCAGGGGAGAAGGGGAGGATGAGGAGGAATCGGAGCCGAACCGCGAGGCGCGAAGCGCGAATAACTTCTCGCCCTCGAGGGCGCCCTTGTGCATCGGCAGAGCCATCGATGCATCGGCGGCGTCGGCGTGGAGACCTTCGGGCTCCTCGTCGAGATGCCTCGCCGATGCATCTGCGGTGCGGCGCGCCCTCCCGGGGCCCGACCCCCCTGAGAGCCTGCACGCCCTCCTCTTGGGGCCCCGGGCGGCCCCGGCCGGGCCACGGCGGCGGTGCTGGTCAGCTGCCCTCCGCGGGGCCGCCCATGCGCGCAGCTCGCCGCCCCTCGGGGCGCGCGCCCTTCCCCGGCGCTCACTGCCCGCCGAAGACCGCGGCCATGCCGCCGCCCTGGTTGCGCAGCCGGGCCGCCTCGCCGCCGCGCCGCGCCTCCGAGTAGGCGCTCGCCGTGTCGGTCGAGTCGCTCGCCGGGGGGCCGCCGCGGGGAGCAGGGCCGCCGCCGCCGCGGGAGGCAGGGGCGCCGCTGGACGGCGTCGCTTCGTACCTTTTTGGGACGGCCGCAAGCCTCTGCATATATGATCCGGGGTCGAGGGTTCACGGCCCCCCCGCCCCCCAGATGGTATGGTCCCAGGATTCCTCGGGCCCCCCCCCCCGCAAATGGTATGGTCCCAGAGACGACGACGACGACGACGACGACGACGGCGACGACGACGACGGCGACGACTACGACGATGACGACGACGACGACGACCACGACCACGACGACGACGACGACGGCTGCGGCGGCGACGACGCCGGCGGCGGCGGCGACGACGATGACGATGATGACGACGGCGACGACGACGATGACGACGACGACGACGACGATGACGACGACGACGACGACGAGGACGACGAGGACGACGAGGACGACGAGGACGACGACGACGAAGACGACGATGACGACGATGACGACGACCTCTGAGGGGGGCACCGCAGCGCAGCACCACGCCACGCCCACTTCTGAACCACCACAGCACCACACCACATCCACAGGGGGGGGGGGGCACCGCAGCGCAGCACCACGCCACGCCCACAGGGGGGGGCGGGGGGGACCATCGCGCGGGGGGGGGGGCGCCCAATGACATCAGCATGGGGGGGGGGGACCAAGCCCTGGACCATATATGCTCGCGTCGCGACAACAGTCGCACAACAGAAGGTACTTCGGCCATTTGCGGCCTCCGGGGGGCCCTCGCCGGGCCCCAGGGACATCACAGCACGGCTCGGGAGGGAAAGGCGGCCCTGGGGCATGGGACGGGACTTCCGAGAACCCACGTCCGGGGAAACCACCGCCATTAGAAGCACCCCTTCAAGCGAAGCGCTGCAGCAAGCGCGCCAGAAGGAGGAATCGCACGGGGCAGGACAGTGCTGTAAAGCGCCCATGGACTGCCCAGGAAGCGCCAGTCAAGGAGGTCGGGGTGGCTTTCCCTACCCTGCACCTTGGCGCGGCGCTTCCCCCGCTGAGCGCGTCCTGCACGGACAGGAGCCACGACACGAGCCCCTCGGGGTGGCGCGGCATCGGCGGGAGGCGGTCCTGCCCGACGTGGTCCCGGAGGTTCATGGCACGCTGCTTCAGGGCCTCGCGGTTAATGCCATCGAGCTGCTTCTGCGTGAATATGGGGAACTCCTTGCCCTCGAACTCGAACGAGGTGGCGGCGGCCGCCATTGTGCTGGGCGTTGCGTGGGCGAGCCCTGGCAGACTGTGGCAGCTGGAACTGTGGCCAAAAATATCTCGGGCCGGTGTAGTGGCAGACAGAGCGAGTGCGATAGGAAGATGAGGAGGCCAATGGGGAACAACGATAAAGCAACATGCTGGACCTCCAGCAACTCTCGCGTGGACCCAGTCGCTGAGAAGATAAGACAAGGCTTCTGCTAGCGGACCCGCCGCTGTTTTACTTCCGCCGACTTCCGCCGGAGGCAGCTGCGCCGCAGCCAAAGCCGTTTCTGTAACGCCTGGCATGGTTCACGGTCAACGCCTCCCAGGACTGCATTCCACGATCCAAGACTACCCTCTTGGGTTAGAGGCCTCCTACATGGGGTCGGAGTAGATGGGGTCGGAGGATCGCGCCGCATCGCCGATACATCGGCGATGCATCGGCGATGCATCGGCGACGCCAGCGTGGCTCCACATTGAGCCGCATCGCCGATGCACCGCCGATGCAGTGGCGATGCGCGCGACCCTCCGACCCCATCTGCTCCGATCCCATCTGGGACGCCTAGACGGATCTAACCCCAGGACGTCCTTCGATGTTTGGTGTGGGAACGTCATGCCTTCCGTCGCAGAACCACCGACACCCAAGAAACCCAGGGCTCCCTGGAGGCAAGCAGGGCGCTTCTTCGCACGGGCTTCCACTGTACCCTGTCTGAGCCACCTGACTTTACACGGCACCTCCCCAGTGGTGTGCCCGTGAGGTGCCTCCGGGGACGGAGGAGGCTCGCCGTCGAGGAGCTCTGGCTGGCCCCCGTCTCTCTCGCCTCGGGCCGCGCCCGCCGACCGCACGGCGACGTGCGCGCCAGGACCGGGCCTCGAGCAGCCAGCCGTTGGGGACGGCAGGATCACGTCTCGATGTCGTCGGCGTTGGCTTCTGACGCTGCGCGGACCGTTCAGCCCTCCACGACCGTTCAGCCTTCAACACGACACGCGCAAGAATGCACTCGGCCGCGAGAACTCGGAGGAACGCGCTCCGGCGGCTTCACACTGGGTGAGACGATGTCCCGGGATTCCTGACGGCCCCTGGGGCCAGCAGCCAGCAACACACACCCGCGGACCGTGGGCTTCTCAGGGGCGGCGGACAAACCCGCGCTGCTGCCAAGGGCCTTGCAGCGCAAAAAGCTCACAGGCGCCGAGCCCCAAGGGCAGCTTCTCTTGCAGCTGGGCTGAAGCGCGAGGACATCTCGGGACGTCTTGGGGCCCTCCCTGGGCCTCTTCGAAGTCGCAACTGCAAGTTGTGGCCGCCTTCGTCCCGAAGCCGCAACTGCATAATGGCCGTCTTCGGTCAGTCTGCGGCCGTCTTGCGGCCGCCTTCCGCTGGCCTTCCGCCTGTGGCCAGGGCCAGATTTGGAGAAGTCCCCCCCAGAATCCCCCCCCAGGGAACACTAAACAGGAACCCCTCCGCATGGTCGATGAACAACTCACAGACCCCGACACCCAAGGGCAGAATCTGTTGCAGCTGGGCTGAGCCGCGAGATGAGGGGGCGCTCTCTTGGTATTCGCCGCGCGCACTCCCTCTGTCAGCACCCTCTTGCGGCCGCATGCCGATAACATTCGCGCCAAGGTCTTGCGCCAGAGAGTAGACTATTCGGCCCGCCCCCGGGAAGGCCGAGAACGAGAGCTTGCGATGGGTAGGTTTAGCCCACGGCAGCAGAAGACTCGACGCAGCGCCGAAATGACACCGGCGTCCATGCACGCTCCAGCGCATCAGGAGCACAGCTGCGGGACAAACCCAAGTGTCAGCCTGCCCCCGACATTCCATCGTCTGAATTGGTGCTGTGGCGCGCGCGCGCGCGCGGGGGAACAGTGACTGAAGGTGGCTTGCGCGGGGACGCGCGACCTGTATCGACGCCGATGCGCAGAGCGCACCAGAGCACCACCGCTGTGCCTGGCCACGGCCCTCCTGGGCCATGGCGTAATGCAGCCTGGGGCCTCGAGGATAACTTCGGGCCGTCCATGGCGTAATAACTTCGCGCTCTCGCGCCGCCTCCCAGGGGAGAAGGGGAGGATGAGGAGGAATCGGAGCCGAACCGCGAGGCGCGAAGCGCGAATAACTTCTCGCCCTCGAGGGCGCCCTTGTGCATCGGCAGAGCCATCGATGCATCGGCGGCGTCGGCGTGGAGACCTTCGGGCTCCTCGTCGAGATGCCTCGCCGATGCATCTGCGGTGCGGCGCGCCCTCCCGGGGCCCGACCCCCCTGAGCGCCTGCACGCCCTCCTCTTGGGGCCCCGGGCGGCCCCGGCCGGGCCACGGCGGCGGTGCTGGTCAGCTGCCCTCCGCGGGGCCGCCCATGCGCGCAGCTCGCCGCCCCTCGGGGCGCGCGCCCTTCCCCGGCGCTCACTGCCCGCCGAAGACCGCGGCCATGCCGCCGCCCTGGTTGCGCAGCCGGGCCGCCTCGCCGCCGCGCCGCGCCTCCGAGTAGGCGCTCGCCGTGTCGGTCGAGTCGCTCGCCGGGGGGCCGCCGCGGGGAGCAGGGCCGCCGCCGCCGCGGGAGGCAGGGGCGCCGCTGGACGGCGGCGCTTCGTACCTTTTTGGGACGGCCGCAAGCCTCTGCATATATGATCCGGGGTCGAGGGTTCACGGCACCCCCCCCCCCCAGATGGTATGGTCCCAGGATTCCTCGGGCCCCCCCCCCCCGAAACCACCACAGTCACCACACCACATCCACAGGGGGGGGGAGGGGGGCACCGCAGCGCAGCACCACGCCACGCCCACTTCTGAACCACCACAGCACCACACCACATCCACAGGGGGGGGGGGGCACCGCAGCGCAGCACCACGCCACGCCCACAGGGGGGGGCGGGGGGGACCATCGCGCGGGGGGGGGGGGGGCCCAATGGCATCAGCATTGGGGGGGGGGGGGGCAAGCCCTGGACCATATATGCTCGCGTCGCGACAACAGTCGCACAACAGAAGGTACTTCGGCCATTTGCGGCCTCCGGGGGGCCCTCGCCGGGCCCCAGGGACGTCACAGCACGGCTCGGGAGGAAAAGGCGGCCCTGGGTCTTGGGACGGGACTTCCAACGCGCCCGAAGGAGGAATCGCACGGGGCAGGACAGTGCTGTAAAGCGCCCATGGACTGCCCAGGAAGCGCCAGTCAAGGAGGTCGGGGTGGCTTTCCCTACCCTGCACCTTGGCGCGGCGCCTCCCCCGCTGAGCGCGTCCTGCACGGACAGGAGCCACGACACGAGCCCCTCGGGGTGGCGCGGCATCGGCGGGAGGCGGTCCTGCCCGACGTGGTCCCGGAGGTTCATGGCACGCTGCTTCAGGGCCTCGCGGTTAATGCCATCGAGCTGCTTCTGCGTGAATATGGGGAACTCCTTGCCCTCGAACTCGAACGAGGTGGCGGCGGCCGCCATTGTGCTGGGCGTTGCGTGGGCGAGCCCTGGCAAACTGTGGCAACTGGAACGGTGGCCAAAAAAATCTCGGGCCGGTGTAGTGGCAGACAGAGCGAGTGCGATAGGAAGATGAGGAGGCCAATGGGGAACAACAATAAAGCAACATGCTGGACCTCCAGCAACCCTCGCGTGGACCCAGTCGCTGAGAAGATAAGACGAGGGAGTACACCAGGCCGACTCCAGAACCCCTGACTCCAAGCGCATTGACGTCTTAACACAAATCTGCCGGAACCTCGGGCCTTCCGCCAGCTCCTGCCGCCGGGCCCGCCGCCGTTCTGCTCCCGCCAGCTTCCGCCGGAGGCAGCTGCGCCGCCGGCAAGGCCTTGTCTGAAAACCAATGCGTTGGGGCCACTTGGGGCTCCGTTGGGGCTCTCGTTGGGGCCTCTCGGCCTTCGGAGGCCCTCCTGGGCCCTCCCAGGGCAGTCGTGAGTCCCTCTCTGTGCGCTTGAGGGCCATCCTTGTGGTCTCTGGGGCCGTCTCGTGGCCGTTTTGGTGGCCTCTTGCGCGATCGTGGGACCCTCTTGGGGCGTCCTGCGGGCCCCTGGGGGCGGACTCGTGGGCCGTTCTTTGGGCGGTCGTGGAGGCAACCGGGTCCGTCTTGGAGCGTTGGAGGCCCCAAAGGGCGGGATCGCCTACATCGTTTGAAACACCTCTTGGAAGCTCAATAACTCTGACCTGCTGGAGGTCATCTTGGAGCCCTCTCGGGGCGTCTGGGGGCCTCCTGGACAGTCCAGACCAGAGGACATCTCGGGACGTCTTGGGGCCCTCCCTGGGCCTCTTCGAGGTCGCAACTTCCAGTTTTTGGCCGTCTTCGGCCCGAAGCCGCAACTGCATAATGGCCGTCTTCGGCCAATCTGCGGCCGTCTTGCGGCCGCCTTCCGCTGGCCTTCCGCCTGTGGCCAGGGCCAGATTTGGAGAAGTCCCCCCCAGAATCCCCCCCCCAGGGGAACACTAAACAGGAACCCCTCCGCATGGTCGATGAACAACTCACAGACCCCGACACCCAAGGGCAGCATCTGTTGCAGCTGGGCTGAGCCGCGAGATGAGGGGGCGCTCTCTTGGTATTCGCCGCGCGCACTCCCTCTGTCAGCACCCTCTTGCGGCCGCATGCCGATAACATTCGCGCCAAGGTCTTGCGCCAGAGAGTAGACTATTCGGCCCGCCCCCGGGAAGGCCGAGAACGAGAGCTTGCGATGGGTAGGTTTAGCCCACGGCAGCAGAAGACTCGACGCAGCGCCGAAATGACACCGGCGTCCATGCACGCTCCGGCGTAATTATCAGGAGCACAGCTGCGGGACAAACGCCAGTGTCAGCCTGCCCCCGACATTCCATCGCCTGAATTGGTGCTGTGGCGCGCGCGCACGGGAACAGTGGCTGACGGTGGCTTGCGCTGGGACGCGCGACCTGTATCGACGCCGATGTGCAGAGCGCACCAGAGCACAACCGCCGTGCCTGGCCACGGCCCTCCTGGGCCATAGAGGGCTGGGGCCACTAAGTTGAGCAGGGACCGACCGTCCCGGCATTCCTAGAGTCCTACCACGAAAAGTTCAATGACTTAGAACCCAAAAATGTCCTAACAAAAGCAGTGTTCTTAGAGCATAGACCCGATGTGTTAAAACAAGACAGTCCCAGCCAGAAATGTTCAAAGAGCATTTCGTGCAAACTGCCACAAATGTTCTTAGAACATTCTTTGGTGGGCTTCTAGGCGAGCCAGGACGCTTCGCCACTGCCTGAGCCCCCCTCTTGGGGCCCCGGGCGGCTCCGGCCGGGCCACGGCGGCGGTGCTGGTCCAGTGCCCTCCGCGGGGCCGCCCCTGCGCGCAGCTCGCCGCCCCTCGGGGCGCGCGCCCTTCCCTGGCGCTCACTGCCCGCCGAAGACCGCGGCCATGCCACCGCCCTGGTTGCGCAGCCGGGCCGCCTCGCCGCCGCGCCGCGCCTCCGAGTAGGCGCTCGCCGTGTCGGTCGACACCGGCGTCGGAAGCTCCGAGAGGCCGCCTCGCCCGCCAGCGCCTCCGCCGCCGCGGGAGGCAGGCCTGCCGCTGGGCGGCGGCTCGAGCTCGTACCTTCGGGTGGCGCCATCTGCTCCTCCTCCTCCTTCTCCTTCTCCTCCTCCTCCTCCTCCTCCTCCTCCTCCTCCTCCTCCTCCTCGTGCCAGCTTGATGCACGCTGCCGGGTCCCAGGGTGACAAACCGAGGGTACGCAAGTGGGCAGGACCTGCGAGAAAGAGGCAGGACAGGAGGGGGACTCACGCCGGGCGTCTCATCGGCCACCGTGCCACGAGGCATGAGGTGGAGTGTTCGCAGGTCCCCTGTAGTCATGTGTCCTGAGCACCCAGGACTGAATACTTGAATACTCTACGACACCTACGGCGAATCACCGCCGGCCCCTGGTATGGAGGAGAGGGAGGGGAAGGAGGAGGAGGAGGCCTCTTGAGGCCTGGGGACTTCCTGAAAAACTTTGGGGGGGCTATCAGGGGCCCCTGGGGGGCCTCCCGGGGCCTCTTGGGTTTCTCCGAATGTCTCTTAGGGACCCCTCAGGGGCCTCAATGGGGCCTCTTCGCGCTGTGATCTTGAGGGCCCCCATGGCCCGTCCTGGCGTGTCGGACGCCCAGAAGGTGGCGGCCCCCAAGACGCCCCAAGAGGCCTCCCAGATAGCCCCCAAGACACATCCCAAGAGACTCCATGAGGCATCCCAGGAGGCCCCTGGCCTTCCGCTCGCCCTCCTCCTCCTCCTCCTCCTCCTCCTCCTCCTCCTCCACCTCCTCCTCCTCCTCCTCCTCATCTGCCCACCTCCTCATCCCTCCCCCTCCTCCTCCCTCTGTCCTGCCCCTCGTCCTCCCGCTCCTCCGGCCTCCTCCTCCTCCTCCTGCTCCTCCTCCCTCCTCCCTCCTCCTCCTCTCCTCCTCCTCCTCCTCCTCCTCCTCCTCCCTCCTCCTCCTCCTCCTCTCCTCCTCCTCCATGTCCTCTTCCCGCTTCCCCCCTTCTCCTCCTCCTCCTCCTCATCCTCATCCTCCTCCTCCTCCTCCTCCTCCGCTTCCTCCTCCTCCTCCTCCTCCTCCTCCTCCACCACCTCCTCCTCCTCTTCTTTGAGAGATGCAAGCTGCCCCCCCCTCTCTGGCTCCTACACTTTCCCCTGATCACCTCAACTCTCCTGGGCATCGTTTCTGGACGGTCTGGTGGGGATGCGCGAAGCGTCATCAATTTAGAATAGTTTTTGTTGCCGCTCCCCTTGCCACGTAACGAGTGTAAAATAATAGTGGGCTTCCGTCCCCTGGGGACGCCATGTGACGAGTATAATCGGATTCGCCACCGTGCCTTCACGGAGTGGGCGTGTTCGAATGCTTTCGTGTTATCTAGTTGAATGTTTTTTTTGTGTGTGTGTGTGTGTGTTTTCAAGGCCGCCCTCCTCCCTGCGTAGCACGCGTCGTCTCAAAACCGTCCCCTCTGAATTTGCGCTCCGGCGCTCTGTTCGGCTTCTAGACGTCTCCGAGACAAAATGAGCCCAAACACAGCCACGCTCGCCCCAAGACTGCCGAAAATGCACCCAATACGGTCTCAAGACTGCCCAAGATGGCCTCGGGTTGGTGCAATAGGATAGCCAGGCTTCCCGAACTGGCCTCAAGACGTCACAAGAAGGCTCCAACAGGACGTCCAAGAGGCTCTCGAAAAGAAGAAATCTTTGATGTCCCATTCGTATTTTGAATGAGTTGACCATGCTGGTCATTTCGTGCTTCCGATGACTCAAAACGGCCCCACCCATTCCCACGAGAGCTCGAAGACGGCCCAAGAGGGCCTCAGGACGGCCTCAAGACGGCCCAAGGTATCTCCAAGCCTCCAACCCAGACCCCCGACGTCATGCTTTTTTCATTACGTTGATCCCCAAAATCCTCGACCCATTTCCCAGGACCGATTTCTCATCCTGAGTCGTTTTTTGACGGCCCCGAGGCCCGTCAAGAGCCCCTGGAGGCCGAAAACTACGGAAAACCTGCCGTCATGATTTGTCACTGCCCGAGGGGGTCTGGAAAGACGGCCCGAGCGGTTCCCAAGACGGCCAAAGAGGCCCAGAGTCGGGCCGGGCGGAAGGGGGGGATAGCAAGGGGGGGGGGGGGAAAATTCAGCTCACGTAGCTGATTTTCCCCGGCGCCTCCCGGCGCCGGAGGCGGCCATGTATCAAGGAATGGGCCCCTCGGTGGGGCCGAAACCAGCTGCATGCAGCAGATTTCGTAACCCCCCCTTTCCCCATCCCCCCCTTTCGTCCGGCCCGACAAAGACTGCCCCAAGAGGCCCACAAGGAAGTCCCAAGATGCGACCACAGCGGGCGGGCGCGCACGCTCCTTCTCCTCCCCCTGTTCCTCCTGCTCCTCCTCCTCCTCCCCCTCCTCCTCCTCCTCCTGCTCCTCCTCCTCCTCCTCCTCCTCCGCCTCCTCCTGCTCCTCCTCTTCTTATTCATCTCCCTGCCCTCCTCCTCCCCACCCTGGCGGGCGCGCGGGCGGGTGGACATGCGTGCGGGTGCGCGGGCGAGCGTGCGAACGAGCGAGCGGGTGCGCGGGCGGGCGGGTGGGCGGGCGACCGGCCGACAGTCCAACCGAACAACCAACCGACGAAGCAGTGAGCCAGCTGGCCAACCAACCAACCGACAGGCCAGCCAACAAGCCAACCAGACGGCCAACCAACCAACCAGCTAGCTGGCATTTTCTGAGGATGCCTCAAACTGCAGGCAGGTGTTGTTTCTTTCCACGGGGTGGCAACAACATGTTAGCCAACGTGGACCCCAAACACTAATTCATGGCACCGTGGATGTGTAAGCGAGGTGGTGCAACTATCAACTCAACGCGTCACTTAAGAATGCCAAGTGAGTACCGTGGAAGCACTGTTTGGGCGACTGACATAGAACATCAAGTTAACCATGTTGGGGTTCGAAGTATGTATGTATGTTTGTTTGTTTGTTTGTTTGTTTGTTTGTGTGTGTTTGTTTGTGTGTGCTTGTGTTTGTTTGTGTGTTTACTGCTCTCCCCACGTTGCCGCGCGTGCCAACACGCGCGGAAGCGTGCATCGCCCCAAGACCTTACTTCCCAGACCCCCGACGCCATGATTTTTGCATGACGTCGACCCCCGGAGGTCTGGACCCCTTCCCCAGGACCAGTTTCCCGTGCTTTGATGGTCCCGAGGCCCGGCAGGGGCCCCCCGAGGCCGAAGATAGCGAAAAACACGCCGCCGTGATTGCTTCCTGGCGCGAGGAGCTCTGGGTTGGCGCGTCGCACCCCGTGCTGAGCGCGTCCTGCACGGAGAGGACCCAGGACACGAGCCCCTCGGGGTGGCGCGGCATCGGCGGGAGGCGGTCCTGGCCCACGTGGTCCCGGAGGTTCATGGCGCGCTGCGTCAGGGCCTCGCGGTTGATGCCGCTGAGCTGCTTGTCCGTGAAGATGGGGAACTCCCTGCCCTCGAACTCGAACGAGGTGGCGGTGGCCGCCATTGAGCTGGGCTCTGTTCGGCGGCGAGCCCAGGGGGGGAAGTGCGAAGGAGAAAACCTTCTCAGAAGGCTCGGAAGCCCCACGGTTTCCTGAGATTTTGTTCTAAGCCTTCCCCGAAGACACGGAACACTTGTCAGAAGGTCGGACGGCTTCTGAGAAGTCCCGCCGCCTTCTGAGAAGGCTTTCTCCGTATCATTTCCCCCCCTCGCTCGCCGCCGATTTGTGTGGGCGGGCCCTGGCGAACTGCAGCAGGTGGAGAGGCGGCCAAAAACAGCTCGGGCCAGCGCGGTGACGGACAGAACGACTGCGGTCATTAGAGTAGGGAGGGCATTGGGGAAAACAGTCGAGTAACATGCTGGACCTCTGGCAACAGTCGCGTGGACCCATTCGCTGCGACAGTAGAAAGTGGGAATGCATACAGCCGACTACCGAAACCCTGAATCAAAACATGAGCACGGCACGACCCAGATGCGGAGACGGTGTGCTAAATCCGACCGGCTAAACCAAGACAAAAGAAAACTACGCGATGCCCAAACAAAAAGACTACACGATGTCCAAGGAACCACGGAATCGCGATCATGAGGCCACGATCAAGGAACCGAGGATAGATACCAAGGAACAAAGGAACCCAAACCAGGGAACCAACACCAAGAAACCAACGAACAAAGACAATATTTAAGGAACCAAGACCAAGGAACCAAGAAACAAATGAACCAAGACTTAAGAAACCAAGAAACAAAGACCGCGGACCAAGGCAAAAGGACCAAAAAACCAGGCATAGGAAACAACAAAACCTAAGAACCTCATGGAACCCCCTTGCAAGGAAGCAAAACCAAGGAGCCCTGGCGAGAGCCCTGGCGAACCCAGCGACGACTGGGCCTGGCACCCATCGGTTCTCTACGAACAAGAATCCCTGAGGCAAAACCTAAGCGGGAAATGTTGACGTTCCGCCGCCTCCAGCCGACCCTCAACCAGCTTCCACCGGCGGGCGTTGATTTGGATACCAGATCCACCACAACCTTTTCTAGTAACCATGAGGTTACCTTCCCTACCTGAACCACATATCTTCAATGTATCTTCCCTGTGAAGTAACCGCGGACCTCGTCAGAAGGTACTAAGGGAGTCCTCAAAGATGTCCTTGTCAAACGTTCGCCAGAGGGTCTCCAGGCGAACCAGGGTGGATAAGCAAACCAGAGTGGATAAGCGAAATTTGCCTACATATGGGAAACGAGTGTTCGCCCCCTGCTCCCTCCAAGGTTGATTTAAACGTTCCACCTACACGCGGGAACACAGTGTGTTATGTGTATTGTGTTGTCTGCGTGTGTTGTGTGTTGTACGGATTTAATGTGGGTAGCGTGCCTCCAGCGTGTTATGTGTATGTGTAATATGTATATATATATATATACATGTTTATATATATAGTGATTAACTGTGGAGTGTATGTGTGTGAGATGCGTGTGCTGTGTGTGCGTGTGTGTTCTCTGTGTGCCCTGTGTGTTGTAGGTGCTGTATGTGTTATGTGCATGCTGTGTGATGTGTGTGTATGTGTTTGTGTGGTGTGGGTGCATGTTCGGTGTGCGTTCTCTGTGTAACGTGTACGGCAGTGCTCAATTCTGGGGACATGTCTCAAATGATCCCAAACGAAACGGTCTTGTTCTAAGAACCGTGTTGCGAAAGGGCTCAAATGTTGCGAGGCCAATTTTTATACACAACCACCGCCCGCAACAGCAATTTACCGCAAACAGGGTTAGGGGCAGGGTCATACCAGACGACGCTGCCGGCCACGGCGAAAAGGAGCGCGGCGCAGCTCGCAGGCGCCGTAGCATAAAAATCGGTGGTGTGTGGTGGTGGTGGTGTGTAAAAATCGCTCCTCTTGGTAACCAAAATTTGATACACCACCACCGCGCGTGCTTTGATGAATTCTGCGTCAGTCCTTAAGAGGGAGGGGGGGCAGCCCGTTTGCCGTTGGCGGCGGGGGGGACTGCGGGCTTGTCGCATCGTATATCATTCTCGATCTTGGTGGTGATGGTCATTTACTGTGCTCGGAGATGTTGGAGGAGATCCCAGGCGAAACTGCAAGTTCCGAAGAATGTGGCTCAAATCCCCTGGATCCCGTCATGTGGTTTGAACGTTGTTATGTCAACAAATTTGAGCATGGCTGTGATGATGGACCGTGATGTCGCGATCTGCGTGCGATGTGCGTCCGATGTTCATAAATGTGAAGATGTCCCAAGCGAAACGGCCACACAAATCGCGACCCAGACACATTAATCGCATCCGAGCTCTACTCCCTCGGAGACGTGCGTATGATAGCAACCATAGATACTTGTGCATATAGATGTACATGTGTGTATGCGCACACACACATGTCTAGATACGTGGACATACACTTGTGTGTGTGTGTGTCACATTATGGGGCGCATGTTCGCCGAAATTCAAATTTCGCACTGTGTCCCCTTCTGGTCTTCGGGAAAATATAATGTCTGCGAACCTGCTGGCAGGCCGATTTCTTCTTGGATGTGCTGCTACCAAATTGCACATGTTGCTGCGCTGAGCTTCCAAATGCCCGCCACCGTGCGCGCAACGGTACGTGTTTTGAGTCCTTTCCGTTGTTCGTTGGCTTCGCGCATTGCGGAGCAGGACATAAATCCCCCCGCTCATCGTGCCCGACGTGCCTTCCCTGGTAACCCCCCTGGACCTCCCCTATGACCACTAGCCCCAGACCCACACTGGCCCCCCACGGAGCACCTCGAGCGCGGTGACGGATTGGCGCGCCAGCGCAACCTCACGACTGCGCCGACCCCTTGGGGTTTGCTCGGCATGTCCGACCATCGCCCCTCTTCAAAACGCCTCCCCCGAGAGCCCAGATCGGCCGGTTTGGAAGTATGGAGGAGGGCTGGAGGAGCCCGCGAACTCACCTGGCCCAGGGGAAGCCCACGGCACGCCACAATTGTCCAGTGAGGCATCACTGCGGCCCACACGTGCTCCGGGACGGCCCAAAATAGGCCAGGAGGCACCTGCTGGCCTCAACACAGCCCCAGAGGCTTCCAAGACGGCCCAAGAGAGCCCCAGGAGGACCCTCAAGAGGGCGCCAAGATGCACGCCCTGCTGGTTCTCCTTCGTTTTTTGTTTGGCTTGTTTGACGTACTCGCCTTTTCGATCTTCAGGGTTTCCAGAGCAAGATGCTCCCAAGATGCCCCCAAGACGGCCTCAGAGGACCCCAAGACCCAAGACCAAGACAACCACCAAGGACACCAATGTTTTACTTCACGTGAATCCAGAAAAATACTTGAGCGCGGTGTTGGACTTCCCAGATGGACGTCCGACGCCAAAGCGCTTCTACGACAACGCCCCACCCCTGAAGAGAGGCATCCAGGGCTCCCAAAAGGTAAAGGTCGGCGGTGCGGCGTGAGCCAGTGACCCTGACATGATACGCCGCCGTGATCTTTTCGCGTGGCTCTCTCCGGAGGTCTGGACCACTTCGTGGGAACCCGCTTTGCATCCTGAGTCGATCCTGGACGGCCGCAGGGAGGAGGATGATGATGATGAGGAGGAGGAGGAAGAGAAGGAGGAAGAGAAGTCAGAGGGGATGACGAGGAGGAGGCAGAAGGGGAGGAGAAGGAGGAGGAGGAGAAGGAGGAGGAGGAGGAGCAGGATCAGGAGGAGGAGGAGGGCCTGCGACGGCCCACGGAGGCCGAGAATCGTCACAAAAGGGCGACGGCCGGCGATCGACGCCGTCTCCGCGCTGGCCGAGGCCGGGCGCACCCCTCGGAGTCGAAGCCGGCTCCCTCCGCGCCGTCGCCCAGGAACAGCGAGGACCCCGCGGCGGAGAAGCCGACGCGCACGTGCTGCCTCGGGGCGCCATCGTCGTCGCCATCGTCGTCGTCATCGTCGCCGTAAGCGTCGTCGCAGGTGGCGCCGTGGTCGCTGCCGTGGTCGTCGTGGCGGTCGTGGCGGTCGTGGCCGTGGCGGCGGTGCTTGGGCCCCCTCCTCCTCCTCCTCCTCCTCCTCCTCCTCCCCCACCCCATTCCAGAGCGCCCTTCTGGAACGACCTGCGCAGTTCTCCTCCTCCTCCTCCTCCTCCTCCTCCTCCTCCTTTTTTGAATGCAACATTCATGCCTCTGAAGTGACAGCCTGCCCCACCAGCCAGAGGCGCACTGAGGGCAAAGCAAATTACCTGTAATTTATAATAGCGGGATGAATTCGTCGATGTCGACCGAAACACCCCTCTTATCGGGGTGCTGTCCCTTACGGAGCCGTCTCAAGTTTCTGAAACCAGTCACCGTGGGTGGCCCGCACTTACGGGACAAACCCAGGACCTGCTCACCGCTAGAATAAAACTTGCACGACATGCACAAGTACAGGTGGCCCTTGTCACTGCAAGGGAACGCAATGACTCGATGGCCTAGTCTCTCCAACAGACCCTGGTCCAAACGGGACTGCCCAGGGCACGAACCTCCCAGCGGTTGAGTCTTGGCACGGGAACCGCGAAGACACACACGGCACCGCCAGGAGGAACCCTGTTGGGACCAGTCGTGGACGAGCTCTAAAAGAGGGGCCTTCAGGTCTGGCGGCGAAACGCGCCGCGTCAGACCACGAAACTCCAACTTTGGCCAAAGTGGCAAGAGCTCCGCTCCCGCGAGCAGGACCGCCCTCGACACTGTAATCTGATGATCGAGGGCTTCCTGCTCAGTCGGACTCATTACAGGGTGCTGCCTGGCACCTTCTTTCGCGTAGACGTCAGCGAAGAAGTTCCCTCTTCGCACAAATCTCTCATGCGAGGAGAGCCCTTCCTCGTCAGCGTCTCTGTGGGCCTCAACCTTCTCTAAGGACACGAGGTTGGGCCCAAAGAAATGTCTGGCTTGAATAATCTGGCCTGCATACTGACGCCTGGCGCTGACACTGTCCGCAGCACCAAGATTCATTAAGTGAACCACGTTCGCACAATCAGAGTAACACTTAGCAGGGCCTTCCGTTTGAACAGCGGACCAAGCCAGGGCCC